TATATACATACATACATACACTTGAAGGCAGACATCACATACATACACTTGAAGGCAGAAATGATGTCCTCAAATGAGGTCAGAAAAAACTGTAATGTAATTGTAATTTTCCTGCTGTTTTCATATGGTGAAAACTTGATAGGCATAGAAGGATGTTACCACATCAGGTTTTGCATGTTGCCAGTTATTTCTCAGTTATATAACTGAAGTTATAAGTTAATAATTTCAGGTTTTGAGCTCAATTAAACATTAGTTAGATTCAGGTGACTTGTTGTGAAGGGCACAGACATCTGCATGTTTGTTTTATTCAAACATGGGCATTATATAATCATGCCCCAAGCTTTGTTTGTGTTACAAAACGGTCTAAACATTACCATTGGTGCTCTGCGAGCTAGATGAGAAGGCAAGCTGTGTGAAGTAAGTCAAGAGGAGACTTGCATCAGTGTTGGGCTTAAGGCTTTTGTCGAGGATGTCTGCCCTTGTAACTGAATGTGCTTCTCAGACAGATTTGTGATTAATCTGTCCTTTATTTCCTGTCCTGAGGTCAGAGGCATTGTGTTCTTCACATGTCTTATACTTCTCTAACACAACCCGTGACCTGTGTCAACATATTTTGACTTCTGTGAAACATGATCTGTGATTTGAGATCTCGCAATTTATTTGCCTCTAGTCTCACTAGAAATAAACATGACAGGTGATTAAGTGTAATTGCTATGTACTTTGGTTATAAAAATGTCTTGCAGGTTGGACTGGATTCTTCCTACTTCATTAGTTAGCTTTGTTGTTTTCATTTGTTTACATGGTCATGTCCTTCATCTCCGTTTTCTGATTTGATTTAGAGCCAATTAGGTTAAACCAGTGTAGGACTCTAATCCTTTTATTTTGTAACGTGAATCACGATCAATGTCACCTACGTCACATTGTGTCATTTTGATGAACTTCAGTTTGTTTTCCTTGACCTCACTCTCATACTCTTGACTCTTAAAACTGCCAGGAAGGTTGTCCACAAGCGTTGCTGACACACACACATATACTTGTGTCTAAAGTTTAGTTTGAACTGGATTTTAATGATACCTCAAACAGCAAATGTTGTAATGGCAACCTTTATCAAATTTTGTACTCACAAGCTTATGTCTGTTTATTTAATCTAGAGGTCCTCAGCGTTTTTTGGACACAGCCCAATTTTTAGGTTGCAAAATTCTTTTGAATTTATATTATTTAAACTTTTTTTTTATTATTAGTTATATACAATATTTCTTCCGCATATTTATTTTAGTTATTTTAGATATGTTATAGATATTGATACTCTATCATTCAATAGTTTGGGGTTGGTAAGACTTATTTATTTTTTAAAAGTCTCATGCTCACCAAGATTGCATTTATTTGATCAAAAGTACAGTAAAAACAACTGAAATATTGTGAAATATTATTATAATTTAAAATAGCTGTTTTCTATTTCAATATATTTCAAAATGTAATTTATTCCTGTGATGGCAAGGCAACATTTTTAGCAGTCATTACTTGAGTCTCCAGTGTCACATGATCCTTCAGAAATGATTCTCAAATGCTGATTTGGTGCTAAAGAAACATTTCTTTTTATCAATGTTGAAACCATTGTGCTACTTAATTTTTTTTTTGTCATGATTCTTTGATGAATAGAAAGTTCAGAAGAACAGCATTTATGCAAAATAATCTTTCCTGTTACATATGACGAATTTAGTTGCTTAATAAAAGTATTTATTTTCTCCACAGATGTGGTGGAACCGTAGGTGCCATCATGACCTGCCCCCTGGAGGTGTTAAAAACCAGACTACAGTCATCTGGCCTCACCCTCAGACCCGTTTTCCAGGTCCAGCTGGGCACATTCAATGGTGCTGGCGTCATTAGACCGGGACCCGTCACCCCTGGCTTGCTACAGGTGTTACGGTAAGCAAGGAAGTACAAACAATATGACACAGTCATCCACCCTGAATGTAGATCCAGAACCTCTGTGGGGCGGCACTGCTTGACTTCTGAAGTCTTTTATGTGGATGCATTTAGCAACTGGATTTGATCTTTTAAATGAAAGCAGATTAAAGCAGCTCTTATCCTGCTGTTAGCTGCTGCAGTTGATGATGATAAGGGGCGGGGTTTGTCTTATGTAAAGGCAAAAGAGATTACAAGTGCTCTCTGTCAATGTCTATTATGGGTAATTGGGCATGGCATTGCTCTCAGGAACCGGCACTGTCACATGATGCCTTCTTGCTGTGCTCGGGTTACTAGCCGCAAACACAAGGTGTCCCTGACGAAGCGTCTCTGAGGGAGTGTACGGGTCTACGTGACTTCCAAAACTTCAAGAGAGACATTTCAATTTAGTCGAACTGTTTAATATCTATCTTGGAAAGGACACCATGTTTAGCCTTTATTCTTCATGAGGAAGCATTTACCTTGTGACTCATTTTTTAATAGTTTCTAGTTTATTATGCTCTATCTCTATTATGCTATTATGCACATTATTACAACACCTCTCTCCCCAGTTTGGCATGAACGGCTCGAATAGTTCCTGTATCAAATGAAGGCCCGCCTTCTGAAATACGAAATGTGCTGTGATTGGTTAGCTGGGCCAGTGTGTGTTGTGATTGGCACTAGGCTTGCTGCGATAGACGGTGCTGACGGTGATACCGCCGCAACATCGGTTACGTCACTTGCCCACCGCGTCACCGACCTTGACGCCTAACTGCCGCTAATTCGAAAGTAAAATGCGCACGGTGCTTTTAAGCTATAAAATGTGTTGTAGTCCAAATGAGTCGTTCGTTGTAGTTTTTGAAAAGTGTTAAATAAAATATCTCCTTTTGAAGTGAACTTTGAGCTTTGTAACTTTGCAGCAGATCTTTTTTATGCTCAAACAGCAACATTACAGACTAACTAAAGTTGAAAAAGCATAATAGGACCCCTTTAAGGAAAAAGTGTTGAAGTAGATGTTTGAATGGAAGTGATATGTGATGTATTATCAACCTGTAATGACAAAAAGAACTTCTGGAAAGTCACTTTGTGAGAAGCATGATTCATTGGTCAACATTCAGTATTTATCTGATAAAGAGGGGTTGTTTCATATGGGTGGCTTATAAAGAAATGAATACAGGTATGTGTAAAGGTGTCACTAGTTGTGCAGCATAATTGCAGTGTTCAAAACAAGCTGTGTAGGTGGATTATAAACTGGTCTCGTGCAGTCTGACTGAAATGCCACACAGTAGTGTTACATCTGTCTAAATCTCATCTCTCTGTCCTCATCAGGTCAATTCTAGAGAAAGAGGGACCAAAATCTCTATTCAGAGGATTGGGCCCAAATCTTGTTGGTGTTGCACCCTCAAGGTAATGGTTCAATTGGTTTTTGTCCAAATCAAGGTTAGATTATAAATTACCCACTCTACAATTTGTTATGCATGCATATATAATATATACATGCATGTATACTTTAACAAAAAAAAAAAGTATATTAAAAAATATATTTAATTTTTTTTCTATCTAACAATAACAGTGCCTTTCCTTGTAGCATGAATTTTGAATTTAGGAAAACAGAAGTTGGTGAAGGAGTTGTCACTTTTTTCCGTATGCATATTCACAACAATAATACTGTAATATACAATAATAAAACTGCAATGTAATTGTATACTAAATTTCTCCATAACAATACCTGTACCTTTCCTTCTGACTTTTGTTTGAATTAGGAAAAATAGTTGATGTTTAGATAAGGTAAAAAAAAAAAAAGACAAAATTCTTATAAATATAGAAATAAGAAGTATTGTTAATTTATTTCTTATTGAGAATTTTTTTCCCTCAGGAACAATAGCCATACATTTCTCATGCTAGCTTGCTAAATTACATTCAAATTAAAATGACTTATAAGCAAGCTAGAATTTTTTTCTTCACTCCTCTAGGATGTACTTATTCTGTGAAAATGCAGTCATTGTTTCCCACAGTCATCATGGCATTAGATCTGGGTGCTTATTCAGCTCTTTGTGCAGTTTGTTCCAGACATTCAGCACAGAGAACGGACTGCACTGTCAGGGACTCTCACTGCAAGCTGTTTGGCTTGATAAAACATTGGCAGCCTTTCAGTGCGAACAGCCCTTTTTCATATTAAAATGAACTCTGCACCGTCATGCGTGGAGAGAGGAAGCAGGGGGTGTCGAGTTCAACAGAGTAAAGGCACTGATATTCTGTTCTCCTTCTGTTCTTCTTCAGGGCGATCTATTTTGCAGCTTATTCAAAGTCAAAAGAGACTTTCAATGGCATCTTTGTCCCAAACAGTGGAATTGTCCACATGTCCTCGGCTGGCTTTGCAGGTGATGCCTTAAGGTTTTTAAAAGAACATTTATGCAACATTGCAAATAACATTTCTCAGAACTGTTTGATGCTTTCAAAGAAAGTGGGTGTTTGAATCGCTAATTGCATTGTTTTTTTTTTTACAGCATTCGTCACAAACTCCCTGATGAATCCCATCTGGATGGTCAAAACAAGAATGCAGCTTGAGAGGAAGTATGTTAATGCTGTAGACTTTCACCCTGTTTTACTCTCAATAGGGAACTTGCATGAGGGCATGACACATCTGTATCAGACCCTTGAGTTGTGGCCCTTTTGCGTGTGAGGGTAACACATCCCCAGATACCGTGAGGGGAATGAGTTTTCTTGTGGGTGGGTGTACAAACTATTAGCACTGTCTCTGTTACGCAAATGTCATGATGATTAGCATGTGATCCAGTCTGCTGCAGTGCAAATATCCACCTTGACGCAGCCGTCGGGGCTTAGCAGGCATGTTCTATATTTGCGCTATCAAAAGCGCCAGCAGTAAACTGCTAGGGTCAGATGAGAGAAGTATGTCAGATGGTACAGTCTGAAAATAGTCTGGCATTTAATTCTCCCTCCCACTCTACACGCAAACCACATTGTGCAATGCAAATTAAAGTTGCAAGTGAACCTTTCAAAGTCTTTGACCTTGATTTTAGTATTCAGTACCTAAACTAGGTTTTGAAAGCAGAACTGTTACCTCCGAGTTAATGGTGTTTAATTCTACATTCTTGAAATTTCTTCCTGATCACCTGACCGACTGTCTCTTTGTCCTCCAGGGCACGTGGGGAGAAGAAAATGAATGCGTTACAATGCGCGCGGTATGTGTATAAGACAGAAGGTATGCGAGGTTTTTACCGGGGCCTGACGGCGTCATACGCTGGCATTTCAGAGACCATGATCTGCTTCCTTATTTACGAGACGCTGAAGAAGTACCTAGTGCGGAGTCGATTCACCACGCCTGACACCGACACAGAAAAAGGCGCTTCAGATTTTCTGGGCCTCATGGTTGCTGCTGCATTTGCCAAGGGTTGCGCCTCCTGCATAGCTTATCCACATGGTAGGTTGTTATTACCTGTCAGTCAGTGTAAAGTCTAAAGATAAACATAGATTGCTTCCTCTTTAGCACTAAGACCTGCACTTTTATGACAGGACCTGGAGTGCATGAGAAATACAGTAAAATAACATTTTTATAGTTAAAAAAACAAGTTATTACAACAACATGCAGTTATTCATAATGGGATGAACTGCTAAAAACATTTGCAAAGTTCTTTTGAACTTGTTAATCAAAAAAATAAAAATCAGTTTTCACAAAATATTAAGAAGCACTTTTTTCAATATTGATAAGAAATCTTAATAAAGCATAAAACAAGCATAATAAATAAGCATAGTACAATGATTTCTGAATGTTCGTGTGACACTGAAGACTAGAGTGATGGCAAATTCAGCTTTGTCATTACAGGAATTTACAGGAATAAATTACATTTTAAAATATATTACATTAGAAAACAGTTATTTCAAATTGCAATAATATTTCACTATTTTAATAATATTGATGTATATTTTTTTTGATCAAATAAATGCAGCTGTGGTGAGCATAAGAGACTTCTTTCAAAAACATTTTAAAAATCTTACCGTCACAAAAATATTTAAATGGTATCAATCAATCTTTCTTTATTACAGACACGAGGTCCAAATAAAAAAAAAAACAAAAAAACAGGACAATAGGACAACATATACAACCCACAGCATCTACCCCACACAATAAAAAGTTACAAAATACAACAATACCAATGTCTCCACAGCTTTGACTGATACCGTGTAGTACTAACCCTTATATTTGATAGACCCACAATAATCTCATTTTTTTGAAGCATTTAGCCGGCAGATAAATCTATACATAAGATTTCGTAACAGTGCTTTAAAAGTGATTACTCTTGCACTCACAAACATTTCACTTGCACTATGCCATCTAGGTCTCTTTAATAAAATTCTCATTGCATCATTATAAGCTACTTGCAGCTTCTGTAAACTAGATGTTCTATAGTTGAACCACAGATGAGCAGTATAAAGTGTTGTACAATATGCTTTAAAAAGTGACACCTTCACCTCATCTGAACAGAAACTAAACTTGCGTAAAAGTATATTCGCCTGCATATACATCATACAGCGTTGCCTTTCAATATCCTCATCGTCTGTCATGCGTTCAGTGATGAAATGTCCAAGGTATTTTACTTTAGCACACACAGTGAGACTCTTATTAGACAACTTGAAAACTGGAAATTTTATACTTTTATCCTCCTTAGTTCTGCAAATCATAACCACACTCTTATCAGGATTATATAAAATATCATGTTCAAGACCATAATCAGAACACATAGTTAAAAGCTGTTGAAGACCAGCACTGCTAGGACTAAACACCACAAGATCATCTGCATACATAATATGATTCACTAGAATATTCCCAATCATACACCCAGTTTTACAAGCATTCAAACATTCAGATAGATCATCCATGTAAAGATTCAACAGAATTGGGGACAAAATCCCTCCTTGTCTCACGCCATTACAGGTAGTGTATAAATATATACATTTAAAGAAAAGACCAAAAAACATTTAAAACCTTAAAAAAAATTTACATGTAGATATTTAAACACTACCATTCGAAAGTTGGGGTGTCAGTAAGATTTTTAAAAATCATGCTTTTTTTCAGCATGGATGCATAAATTTGTTCGAACGAGACAAAAAAAAAAAAAAAAAAAATTTTAAAAAAGTTTTATTTTAAAATATTAATAAATAATCTACATCTTCTCATTTTTAATGACCAAACCTTTCTTGGTGTGTTTTCCAGAGGTAATTCGGACAAGACTAAGAGAAGAGGGAAGCAAATACAAGTACTTCTTTCAGACGGCGCGCCTTGTGGCGGTGGAAGAGGGATACGCAGCTTTTTACCGAGGACTCATTCCACAGCTCATCAGACAGATCCCCAACACAGCCATAGTGCTGTCCACCTATGAGCTCATTGTGCATCTGCTGGGTGAACCCTCCAAATGAAGCTGAACACTACAAGCACAAAGATACTTTTGACCAGTGGACAGAAAAGAATCCATTGTGAACAGGGATGTTTATTTGAATTACCCAAAGACTTTAAAGAGCTTTTTTATTTTGCGTTGACTGCATATGTTATCAGAACTGTTTTGCGTGTTTGTGTTATGTAAATGGCGCATATTGCATAGCTACTCCAAGATGTTTGTGTATACTGTATCAGTGTACAGCAAAAAGTCATCGGAATATACAAATAGTGCTTTTAAGTTAACTAAATTATTCTTATTATAAGTAGCAGCGTTTTGTTTTTTGTCTGTGGAATTCTTTGGATCTATGATATGGTGCGTGTCCAAGAGTTTTGGAGTTAATCCGGGTTTTATTATGAAGTTCTTGGAAGGAATGCAAATGATACTGTAATGGGGGCGTAGGATAGCTTGTTAGGAGCCGATAAGATCACGTTGCAATATTTTGTAACACTTTCCTGCTTCATGACGGCTAGTAGCACTGGAATCTGACCAATCAATTCCATTCACCTCTTTGCTAGAAACCTATCATCTGTTTACTGTATGTTAAGTTGTTCATCTTTTACAGAAAATGAGGGCCTTGATGCATATGCTGCTGTTGGTTTAATAAAATAAATTATGGAAGTAATTTTTTTTGTTGTTGGAAATGCACAGATAAAATGAGCCACATTAATAAATATACCTTTTTAAGTCTGTTTGGATGAATTTATGATTGTTAGCAAGACTTTGAAAACAAAGGTAGGAGTCAATAATCCCAGGATCCCAGCTGTTTACGTGAAGGTTCCAAAACATGAACAAAGAACATGATCTTTGAGCCTTCTAGATGATGTATTATCTCTTGTGCCACAATGCTGTACAAAGTGAGAGGCATGTAAGAATCAGTTGTTATGTTGAAGATAATGATTAAGTAATGTCAACATACCTGCTTTTAAGCATGTTATCTTATGTTAATTACGATTCAACTTGTGATTACTGATAATATTTTGTAAACAAACTTTAAGGTGACTGAAAGATGAGAATCCACTGTTCAGGGAAAAAAATGTTTATTTTACATTTTTAAGTGTTTAATATGTTGTAATGTCTTAGTAAAGCTTGTGAATGGCTGTTACATACGTTGCCTCAAGAGGGCAGGTGTATACCATATAAATCTGCTTCAGTTCACTTTCTTGAACAGGCAAAATGTTATTTATGGAAGGCACCGCGTGTAGCAGCAATTACAGCAAAGTACTTTCTGCAAATTTCAGAGTAAACCGAGATAGAACACAGATAAAGCTAATGATTTAATGTTAAAAAAGATGAATGAAAAATGCAAAATGTACAAATAATAAAAAAAAGTGCAAAAATTAATTACTGTGAAACAGGTATGGAGTGTACAAAAATATTTTTAATTTAAGAACGAATAACATATCTGTTATTACATTGTTTAATTATAAATTTATATTTTACATTTTAATGTTTTATATTTTACTGTTTGAGGTATATAATTAACAAATAATTATTTTACATTATTATTATTATTTTCCGTTTAGAAGTGCAACTTTTATTTTGACAGCCCTTGATATCGCTCTCATGACCTGGATATGGCCATGTTGTAGATTGATGCGCGCTTCTGTTGCCGCATGCACTACTCCAGCGTGTGGTTTCTTGTGAATAACACTACAGTCAATATCCCGTTTTGCAATGGAGGCGTTTAACCAGATATTACTACAGTACCCGCCATTTGTAGTTGGAGGTGTCGGAGCAACGGCGATCGCTGCAGGAGGAGCGCTTATCTACAGAATTGCAACCAGGTATTGTGTCCCTGCCCATAAGATGTCGCTGGGCCTCGTATAACAGACATGAAAGTTGAGCTAGGGCTACGGGAAAACACTGCCCTTTTTCACGGTTTCCTATATAATGAACATAAATTGGCAGTAGTATTTTCAACAGTTCGTCCGTGAAAAATGCTTGCGCGCGCGCGGAGCTATTGAACTGCGCGCGCTAACGTTATACAAACAAGCGCGCGAGATTTCGTAAAATGGCTTAGGCATGTCTGTCTCTGGTACTTAAAACATACCAAAATTCACAGTTATATTAGTATTTTTCACCAAAAATAACAGAAGTATTACAGTTATTGTTATTTCTGTAAATCAATGATTAATGTACTAATTCCTTCAGTGTTTTCATTCATTTTTATTTCTTTTATTTTGTTGATAGCAGTGGTGGTTTAGCTAATGACACCTATCAGTCATTCTTGAGACATGGGACAAAACAGGTCCAGCAAGGGTAACTGCTATTAGGTTTAAAAAATATTTTCAATTTTAAATGTTATGAGGGATTAATAATAGAATGTATTTAACACAATTATCACCTTCAATTTAATTTTCTCATTATTATACCAAATCTGTGTTTCTTAATGTCCTC